CAGATCTCCTGTTGTGAATGAGATTGAGTTGGTGTGGAGTTTGACAGGACATGAGTCTAAATCAGGCTTTACTACAAAGACACACGCTGCACATTGAGACATGAAGAAATGCGTCTTCAAGTTACATAAAACACGGTATATATCAAATATTCAAAGTATTTTATATATTTTAAAACGCATCACTCCAGTACTGGATGCTTTATTGGTCAATACAATGCTGCAGCTGTATACATGTCGAAGAAACAGCACTTTAGATATGACTCAATTTACAATAAACTGCATCACTTGGGTTCTGGAAATGCTTCTGTTGAAGTCATCAGTCAGAGTAATTACAATAAAAAAATAAAATAAAATAAAAAGTAAGGCAAATTCCAGGTGATGAACAATACTACTCATAAATCTCACAAGAAAGCAAGCCACCAAAAAAAATCACTACAAACACATCAAGACAAAACACTTCCACTACCATTCAAAATGTTGGGGTCAGAAAGATTTATTTATTTATTTATGTCTTATGCTCACCAAATACACTAAAAACAGTAATATTGTGAAATATTATTACAATTTAATAAGAATTTATTTACAATTTATTACAACTTTAAATTCATAGTTGAATTTTAGAAACAACATTTCTATGAAATTTTTTGTTTTGTTTCATAGTTTTGTAACAATATAACAGTCTTTACTGTCGCTTTTGATCAGTTTAATGCATCCTTGCTGAATAAAAGTATTAATTTCTTAAAAAAAAATTTTTTCACTGACCCCAAACTTTTGAACATTAGTGTGTTGCAATACATTTAAAATATATTTCTTATATTGCCTGTATATTGCACCATTATTATTATTATTATTATTATTTTAATTTGATCCAGTCATTCACAATTCTTCATGGGATTGTACTTCAACAAAAAGACCTGTTTTTCCTGTTTTAATATATTCTTTTTCTTCAAATTAAAGTCTGTAATCTTGGAGATGATGGCTAGTTTGATCCCTAGATAAGAATGTTTTATTGAAGAAATCCTTGTGAAGAAAATGAATGGGAAAAGTGCTTCTGTTGTGCTTTATATGAAAAAATAAATGTCCTTAAAAACAGTCTGTCTAGAGAAGAATGATGCAAGAACGCTTCCTGGTCAGGAAAAAATATATGTCCTTAAAAACAGTCTGTCTGGAGAAGAATTTGCACCAGCCTTTAGCTGCAATATTTAATTATCATTTGATCAAAATGATCAGAAAGCATCACACAAATACAGTAGATGCAAAAATCACATTTGACAGCAATAGTTATACACACAGTACTTTTTATAACACTATGTGTGATTGTGTGTGCATGATTAACCCTTTTAAAATCTGTCAGACAGTGTTGATAAACACAATATGTGCACATGAACCTGACCTAATCTGTGACCTGCATCCATTAGCTGTGATATAAACTGAGCATTTAATTGTATCTGGACTGCATGTATGTGGCATACCGATCCATCCTGCCACCGTAAAATCACACATGTGCACTAACACTAACATATATGTTAAGTGCATATACACACAAAAGCACAAAGTGATCTGACAGAATCAGGTCAGTGACCACACACCCCAGCCCAAAGGGGAGGACACCGGACGTGTGTCCTAAATAACCTTTAATGACCTCCACACAGCGTACAGACAGCAGACTGTGGCATATACTGCAGTCTATCATGCATCCGGCTCGGAAATGGGCATTAATTGCAGACATGCACAAACATTCCCATAGAAAAGAAAAAATACAAGACAGCAGTGACCTTAAATTTTCTCCTAAGAAAAAGATGCCAGTGACACTTACAGTTTTAAATGAGATCTCAACAATGTCTCCAATATCTACACAACCCACAGTCTGAAGAAAGATCCACAAATCAAATAAATCAATTTTACTACAGAAGCAGAAATCATGGGATTTCCTGTTCGCTCCTATGAAGCATTGCAAATGACTTAATCGAATTCTCTTCACATTTTAAATAATTTGTTTTCTCTATTGTCTGCAAAGATGCTTTTGAACAATGTGTATTGTAAAAATTGCTAAAAATATAAAAATACTCACTTTTATGTTTATGATCAGCACTTATATGTATAAATATATATATATATATATATATATATATATATATAATTGCTATTTCTGATTTGATTA